CAAAAATTGCCCCAAAGGGTTACATTGGCATATTTTCAAAGATCGGAAACTAACTTTTGATTTTTCAGGTTTAATGGTTTTTCCTGTAAATCGAATCTCTCGGATGTTTTCAATCTACCTTTTGCCATTTCATATTTTACTGGGGACTACTTCTGTTTCGGTCCCAAGCTTCGTAGTGCGTGTGAGTAGTTCGCAATAACAGAAGTGCGGTTTCTGCTTTGTCGTGTGTGTGCCACAGAGTTCTACTTTTTAAAAGTAGTTTGTACGGACACAAGTGCGGTTTGTGACTTGTCGGGTGTGTCCGACGACAGATTTGTACTTTTTTGGGGGCAGTAGTTAGCAAAAACAGAAGTGCCGTTTGTGTTTTGTCGTGTGTGTATGCCACATAGTTCTATTTCAGCTGCTTCTATTGGCCCATGGAATATTAGTTAACAAGTTAATAATGTAGTAAGATGCCCCTTAAACGTAGAGTTTGTTTAACCCCACGAAAAAGATTTTTTTTTTTATAGTAGAGGGGTTTATGGCGCTCGCAACTGCATAAGGTCATATGAGCGCCAAGGGGTGGGTGTCAACAGAGAAGTCTTTACAGGGAATCAGGCTTACTCTGTTCACCTCTCTAGCTTCAACAGCCCAAGGTCTGCTTCGACTATCAAAGCACCCCAAAATAGCAGGTCACAAGAGAGTGACAAACATACAAAAGAAGTAGAGGAAAATGACAATAGTAAGGATCAGGAAGGAAAAAGCAGCAGTTCCCTGTTGTAGATCAGGTACATTTATGAGCGTGACTTGAGTCAGCCGTTTACAATTCTACTATGCTTGAACGAGAGAGACTGCTGATTTCACCAACTATCTACTAAACATTGATAATGGCAAACACAATGTATGCAAGCAAATTAGAGAGTTTGCGATAAAACTGCCAGGTGACATCACAGTAAGGAGCGAACGAGAGTTGATAAATTTTGTCTTAGGTAACTTGCAGTCTAACACAAATCCTGACTGGCTGGCTTCCCGCTGCATCATCTGTCCCACCAACACAGAAGTAGACAGAATCAACCTCCTGATCATGAACCGGAGAAGAAAAAGTCTGCAGGAGCAGTGATTCGGTGGAAGAAAACGAACACCAATATCCCATCGAATTTATCAATTCTCTAAGCCCGTCAGGTATGCCACCCCACAAAATGACATTGCGAAAGACAGCATTGTCATGTTGCTGAGAAATCTGGAGGCCACTGCAACGGGACTCGCTATGTGGTTCACCACCTTCATCAACATGTAATTGATGCTGTCGTTGCTTGCGGTCTACATGTCGGAAAGAGACTTTTCATTCCAAGGATTCCCTTCTTGCCTTCAGACAACATGTTTCCCTTCCATATGCGACGGAAACAATTTCGGTTAGACATGCTTTTGCAATGACTGCCAACAAAGCTCAGGGACAGACTTTGAAAAGGATAGGGGTTTCTTTACAGGGCGATTTTTCCCCAAGGACAATTATATGTCTCAAAGAGTCGTGTTGGGTCCAGGGAATTTATTAGGATACATGCAAACAGACCTGCTGCACAGGCGCATATACCAGCAATGTTGTCTACACAGAGGTCCTACGGCAATGAATCAGGTACCGGTACAAACATTTTATCATGGGCTTTCGTGTCACTATATCACCGTTCGTAGAATGGGTCTGTGTCTAGTTTTCAAAAAGCTGATTGACTCATTGGCCAACATATTTCATGGGGGCTTTTCAAATGAAAAATGATTCTCCTCCATCAAATCCACCATACCACTGCCTGCAACGTAACTTTAAAGTAGGGTATTTAAAAAAAATAAAATTGCACAACTAAATCTACAGGGTATTGACCTTTTTACAGATTATGCCGTGACCTCTCTTGTCGTATCTCCATTTTTAATAACAGTGAAAACAGTTCATAACAGAGAGTGAGCTTATGAAGAAGTCACATTTTCATTGTTAAAAAAAATGGAGATACGACAAGAAAACACTGAGGTCGCGATGCACACCTTCCCAGTGCCTTGAAAAAAGTTTTTAAAAGTGATGAACGCCGTATATTTCTCTGCTACTCTGCAATTTATGCGTTTTTGTGGCCTTTCCAAAAAAGTGGGATACCAGGGTGTAATAAGTGTAAGGACCAAAATCAATTTTATGAACCAACTCGAATTCTGAATGTCATTCAGAACATGGAACATGCGCAGAAATCCCCACGGGCCAGTAGCGTCAGGCTACTCGACCTTGATCAGGCCACCCAAGGACCTTAAACAAGAAAACGTAACCTTCTTGTAGCCACCCGAGATCGGGCGACCTAGCCGCTCCGTAATAATAATAGGCCTACGTGGAGCAACTTATCCTCAATTTAGTATCCCTTTAACAGGTGAATCAGTGTCACCCAAACTTTGTGCAGCAGTTTGTATCAGTTTGTCTTAACTTAATCATATTTTTTCAAAATAATTGCAGGCTAACATTTCTTCATAAATTTATATAAAATAGGGGCCTACTATAAATCTCCGCCATGCGAAAAAAAGGATTGTTCACTGCACATTCCCGCTGCTCGCACACATTTTGCATACGCATAATATAATGGCCTGCGCCATAGCTCACCAATGACACTTAAATGAGTTGCAAAACTTGTTACAGGAAATTGATTTCATACACAGTGAACTCATCATTTGCATAAAAGGTTCTCAAAATATGTGTTAAAAAAGTATAATTGTCGCGATTAGCATAACATGACAGACTTGCTTTTAAAAGCTTGCCTCAGCTGTAAATCTTTCAAAGTCTCTAGAGACCGCCAACTTGATTTTTTAAATTATAGGCCCTCGTAGTTATTAAGGAATTTTCTAGAATACACCTATGTTTACAAAAATATTGATCAGTTTGGGTAAAATGATACAAGTCTTTGTACCGAAGCTGGAGAGTCTATATGTTCGATGGTTTAGGAAATATTTGACAAAAAGTAGCGCCACGAATTTTTGACCGCACTATAGGCTAGGAGTTTTTACCCAGTCTACTGTCCATCTTAAAGGAGTTTACGTGAGTTTTTTAAATTTTATTCTATTTTTAAAAAACTCAGATAGATCTTAATAATAATAATAATAATAATAATAATAATAATAATAATAATAATAATATATACCATTTATATAGCGCATTTCCAAAAAAAGTAGCTCATTGCATTTGGCGCAATACACAAGCCATTGCAAGCTGGTCAATGCTTTCGAACTGATGTGTTTCTTCATCTTAACGGCATACACAATACATGTACATGTATTAATTTAATGTAAAATATAACTTTTGACAAATATTTTTTAAATTTTGTTTTCTTTCCTTTTTTCGGTTTTATTTTTAGCAAGTCTAGACGGCGCTGTCAGGCTGAGTTGCTACCTGTAAACAATATGGCCGCTGGCATGCAAGTCGGCCTTGGTATGAATGCGTCGCCAAACGAACCAGTTGCCTTCATAACGTAGTCTAATATGCCAAAGACCGCAAAGTGCGCTCCAAAACGGTTGTGGAATAGTGTGCTTAATAAGATGAATTTGTAGAAATACAGAGTCGAAAAAGCGTCTTCTTCGTACTTTGAAAATGATACGGAGGCCGAATAAAAACACATTTATTGAACCTGAAAGAAAAAAAACAACATTCATATAATTGTTCACTAACCTACACATGTGATCTTATTATTCAAATGATTTGGCGATCTGCGATCTGCGTTGAGTTGATGCTATAGCTAATGAAGATTTAAATATTGATTCATTTGGGGGCTTGACAGTCTGATCCCTTTTTGTGGTGTTGTATGGCGGCTGAATGTGACGTGTAGAAGAGTATATGAATTCTGATCTTGTGAGAGAAGGGACAGAAGATCCTCAAGCATTTCAAGATGGACATCAGCAATAACCCACCATTTGGGTTAAACTTAGAAAACAGGAATGATGAAAGTGAAAATGATGAATCAGATAAAGCTGAAGGAGGTTTTGACACCAAAAGGACCTTCTCTGAATTAGATTCAGATTCTGAATGTTTCAACGATGAGGGAATACTGGTAGCTACTAATGATGAATATGACCCTAAAAATATGGAAGGGGATACAGCTGCAGAAGATCATGACCCAATTTTTGAGGAAATCAAGGATGCCATTGCAAGGAGACAGTCACAAAGTAAATCGTCGAGTTCAAATAGAAGTGTCACTTCAGATGATACACCTCAAGTGAGGATATCAGATCAGTATGTTTCCATCCCCTATGGTATCCAGCCTCGTGCAAGCTATGAACATGGAAAGCGGAGCTCTGATATCATGGGAGGTTTGTGCTGGCTACGTTTGACATCTCATTTGAAAAAACCTTGTGCCACAAAATGGTTATTAGAAGGGAGTGGGGGAGAAAAATTATTTTTAGATTTCCTGTAAGGAACAATAGCTCACTTGTTTGTACTGTCTTTATTATTAGTGGATGAATTTAAGCAAGGAAAAGGTGATGTATGTGGAGTAGAACAAAACCAACTGTTAATTAATTTTTTTTCGAAATAATATGGAACACAGGTTTCTTGAACTGTTATATATTACCTGTCACAACGTGGTGGAATCAGGTGCTCGTCCAATTTTGGGCATGTGGCGCTATTGATATCATCTTAAAGCTTGTTCAATTGTTTTGCTTTCGGTGATAGAAATACTCATCTATCGTGAATCATCATCATCATCCATAGCCAGATCTACGACAGACATTGGCGATCATGGTTTTCCATATTCCTTTGCTAGGATGCTCTAAAAAAAGCTACGTTTCCCTGATCTTTCCCTGTTACCCATTTGTTTACGTTCCCTAAGTATGTTGTTCTGGGCCTACCCCTGCCTCGCTTGCCCTCAATTTTGCCAGTGAGAGCTAGATGTTCAAGACCCTTAGTGTCTATTCTGCAGGTGTCCCAAAAACTGCATTTTTGTCTTTTCCTGATTGTTTTTAACATTGTGCGTCCCACGTGGGCTTCATCTAACACTACCTCATTTGATTTCTTTTCCTTCCACGATACTCTTTGCAGTCTCCTAAGAAACCACATTTCTGTTGCTTCTATTTTATTTTCACTGTCTTTAGTGATTGTCCAGCATTCACAACCATATAGAAGGGTTGACCAAACATAGCATTTCAGGACTTTCATTTTTGTGCTCATTGAGATGTTTCTATTTTTCAGGATTGGGTTCATTTTTATTGAAACTAGCCTTAGCCAGTGTAGTTCTCCTTTTTATTTCTGTGGAACATTTGGCGTCAGATGTTATCATAATATCCTAGATATTTAAACTGTTGGACTTGTTTGATCTTTTCACTTTTGCTAATGAAATTACAACTAGGATTTGCTGCTTTTTTGGATATTACCATGCATTCTGTTTTCTTTACATTCAACAATAATCCTTTACGTTCACTTTCTGTTACAACAGTATCTTGAAGGTCCTTTTCAGAGCCTGCTATTAAAACTGTGTCATTTGCATACCTGATGTTATTTATATTTTCTTCTATCGTGAATAGAAGTTGAAATATTTGAGATTGAAGAATGTGGGGGTCGCCTGGTTTCAGAAGTAAAATTAGCGAGAAAATGGCCGTCAAAGTATGGGGACTTCCATAGCCCAAGAGTCCTTGGAAACTGCAAATTTACATTTTTTGTGCCTTTAATCAACGTTTTTCCATACGATCCACACATAAAAATGTTTTTGAGTGAACATATAAGGTGTTGAGAAAAAAAAAAAATTCTATAAAAAGTTCCCTAAGTGGCCGAATAATACCGATTAGGAGAAACGGGCATTTTCTCTAAAGTTTGAAAATTTTTATCGAATTTTAATTTTGGAGCCAAACTCTTTTATAAAATGTCCATATAAAAACACATTCCCATGAGAATTTTACTGAAAAACATTGATTAAAGGCACAAAATGTGTCATTTTTCTGTTTTCAAGGACTTTAGCTATTGGAGTTATCAGATTTTGGTGGCCATTTTCTCGCTAATTTCACCTCTGAAACGAAGTTACCCCACTTCCTTCAATTGCAAATATCTTTAGGTCTATTCAAGATAGATAGATATTTATTTAATCGAAAGTGAGGCAAATAAATCAGCTTTTGAGATGATACCAATAACTCCATATGCACAGAAATTGACGAGCGTCTGATACCACCGCGTCGTGACACTTTTTTTTTTTCTTGGATGTGTTTTTGTCATAGTTAAAACACTTGTTTTGATAAATGATCAGCCTCGCACTGTATTTTCTTGGTTTTTAGTACAGGCTCAAAGGCACCTCAATAAATTTGTAATGTCTGATATTATCTTCATGTTTTGACACATGAACCAGGCATAATGTATTCATTGCTTTGAGTTTCAGGAATAAATTTGTACTAAGTAATATAGTCAGTTGCATATGTGTTATCACATGGTTTATTCTGATTTGATTCAACAGTCACATACAATGGGAGGATGAGACAGTTTATCATCCTTGACTCCAAAGGCATCACAACTTGGAAAAGGGATGCTGTCAAAAACAGGGGTAAAGTACCTTTAGAAATCAACTGTTTAAATTGTGGCAATAGTCTTTAAGATTTTCACTTACAAGTAAGTTTATTTCATAGTGATTTACCAATGCAATCAGTTATGAATTCTTCATTTTTTTATTTTCAAAAGTGATTCAAAACCTATGGTAACACAAAAAAATCATATATATATATATAGATATCGTTTCAGTGTCTATATCAGTATGGGCAGTAAAGTGTACTCATTAACTTGAACATTTTTGTTGTTTCTATTCATCTCTTTTAGATCTTGTGTTTCTTGTCTTTCAATTTACTATTTTTTCATCCTTGTCAGCTGGCACAGAAGGTTTAGTTGAATGCTTTTCTATTGATTGTTGACTTTTTACATATCTTTGTTAGTTGCACTGTACTAAATCATTTCAAGTAATTAGGGAGTGATGTATTTCAACTCAAAAGAGCCTGAGGTGAGAAATTTTGCCTTCACGTTGTCTCTATTTCTTCAGTTGAGCGAGCTCTGCAGTACCCGAAGTACGAGTACAGGCTGATCACCTACATGTTGTATGCCAAGAAGTTTAACTGCTACTTTGCTCTGGGGAAAGATTTCTCCTTAAAGGTAGGCATAATATATTGGTCTTGCATGTTGTGTCTCTAGCATGAGATTGTCTTTTTAGATTGGAAGATATTTATTTAGTATCTGAAACTATATATGTGTGTGTGCGTGTGTGTGTGTGTGTGTGTGTGTGTGTGTGTGTGTGTGTGTGTGTGTGTGTGTGTGTGTGTGTGTGTCTTTATGGAATTGATATATTTGTCTGCTTGCATTAAATTCATCCTTGGTTCAAGTTACATTCCCTTATTCATTTGTCGTCAGTGTATTTGATTTCTGAGGGTTTTTTGTCGCTCATTCAACAGTCTCTTCTTTCCTGTCACTGGTTCATGTGAGATTGTCTTCATCTGGCTAAGCATCCTGAATGCTCGAAAAAAATGTTTTCTGCATATATGGATGAAAGTGTGAAACTGATATTACTTCAAAAATGAAGAGTAATCCCAGAGTGTTTTTCTTTCATTTTTTTGTTGTTGTCAGGTGTACAACAGAGATTTTTGTGAGACTTGCTCAGTGAGTGCAGATTTGAGGTCTGTTCTGTTCATGCTGTTTAATCCAGTTCGAGACGAGCTCATTACGGGGGGAGTAGGTGGAACCAAGGTGAGAAGACTTTAGGATTTGGAATGTTGTTGAACTTCCAGGAATTGTTTCTGAAGAGGAATATAACTTGCAATACTCAGAGTCACATTGCTGGTGTATTTCAACATCTTTCTGGGCTTGAATCATAAAAACTCTGTCACACCTCTTCATTAATCATTTCAAGTGAGAACATATAGAAATGTATGTGTTATGTATTATTAATGTAGGTGTATAAAGAGAGCAAATCTAAAACAAAGATAACGTCTCAATTGTAACAAAATCAGAAGTGCGTGTTATAAACAGTTTTGGACAACAGGTACTGATATTACTTATAACGAAGGATTTGTATGACTGTTATATTATTATGAATATTATTTTTCTTTAAAGATTAAAAAAGTTTATCTGTAACCAGGTATCCCCTGAAGGCTCTCATGATTTCACAATGTTAATAGCTCCCTTATTGAGCCTTTCATTCCTTTTTGAAATTTCATCTCCTTTGGGGACATAAAGGTTATTATCATAATTATTTTTGGTATTATTTCTTAAAGTTATATATATTATTGCTGTTATTATCATTTTTCTTCATCAAAAGATCTATAACCTAAAAGGCTTTTGTCAGCTAAATAAGTTAAAATTGCTTTAGTTTCAAATCATGTCTTTTTGCTGCACACTTAAAATATGTATGCACTACAAATTTGACTGACTTATCTTCAGGTCTGGAGATTCCATCAACAAGTTGGCAAGTCTATTGTGGAGCTGAAGCCTCTTGCAAATTATGGGCTAACACTGAAGTGAGTTAATAAAATTGCCTCTTGTTTTGTTAATCACCAAATGATACAGAGGGTAAATAATTCTTTGTGGTCATCAATGTCATCAATCTGTCTACAATTTGTAAGAAAAATATGTCTCTGTCGTATTCTGCTTAAAGGACAGACACCCCTATGGAAGGTTTGATATTCTATTTATAAGTATGCTTCCCAGAAAATCTTATTCGTAATACTTTCTTCTCTGGAATGCAGGTATGAGCTTCCCAATGTCGGAGGAAGCTGGGTGAAGAGAGTGGAACTAGACCATGACCTTGAGCATCTCTACTGCTGCAGTGACACTGACCTACATGTCTACAACTTGACAGGGAAGCTGCTGTTTAAATTTGAAAGGTAAAAGCGAGATAGAATAAGTTAAGTGCAAACCGTTTGTAGAAATGTAAAGGTTCTTAATGCAGTGATTGCTCATATTTTAAGTATTTCTGAGTATATGTTGTGACATTCACTGGACATGCAGTGAACTGTGAGAGTCATTTGCTAATATTCTTGTATTTATTCTGGTGTTTTTATATGAGAGCTGTCATTTTGATAATATTTTAATGTGTGTTGGGTCTGCTGATTCCCTTCAATTTCCTTCATCTGCTTTGAGGAACTTATGAGACCCAAAAGTGTTGGTTGTTCTTATTGCCCAGCTAAAATTAAAATTCATTCTGAACCTGTTATTCCTCAAAGTTTGTTTTGCATTCGCACTAAACTATATGTGTCACGACGTTGTTGAATCGTGCGCTCGTGAATTTTTGGACATATGGAGTTATTGGTATCATCTTAAAGGTTACTCATTTACCTTGTTTTCAAAGAAATAAATATCCATTCATCTTGAATAGAAGTTGAGATATTTGCGATTTAACCCTCTTAGTGCTAAGCCATTATTACCATTACTTTCCTTTAGTGCTGGGTTTATTTTAGAAAAATGCCAATTTTCAACATGGTTATGAAAAAGCTCATATCTTTCTTGTTTAACAAAATTTCTAATTACAGTAAGAAGGAAAAATTATTTGTCTTAAATAATGAACTACTCTTATGTCTGATCAGATGTGTTTTTTTATGATGTTGCTGTTGTTGTTGTTGGTATCAAAATCCTCGTCATTTTTAGTCCAGCCTGCTTGGAGATCAGCAGGAATATCGACGTCCTCTTCTAGGCTTACCCTCGCTAGATCTACGACACGGTATATCCTCATCATTCGCACGTAGATCTAAATCTTTTATTAGAGGACCTAATCCTTCAAACTCTTTATCACTGTTGCTCGATTCCTGGAAAATGTTGGGTAAATGTGTGTCTTAATCAGCTGACAAATCCGACATTTTGAAAACTGTAAACAATATCCGAGAAAATTGCTGATAAAAAACTCCAAACCGATCCCTGACTATGAAATGGGCGGCCAGCGGCACTAATAAACGTTGCACTAGTGGACTGTAGACACCAGCAGTTTAAAAAATGGCAATTCTCATGTCAGCGGTATAGTTTTTACACTCATGTCGGATCACGACAGGTGGTCGCAATGCGCGTGAAAGGGAGGTATGATCATCACGACCACTCGTGATGCCCACGCAGAGGGTTAAGGAGGTAGGGTCGAGTGGTTTCAGAGTAAAATTCACGAGAAAATGGCCACCAAAGTTTGGTGACTTCCATAGTTTTAGAGTCCTTGGAAACTGCAAATTTACTTTTTTTGTTCCTTTAGTCAACGTTTTTCCGCAAAATCGACACATGAAAGTGTTTTTCTATAGACCTACAAGGTTTTGAGCCAAAAATCGAAAATTCGATAAAATGTCCAGACTAGCCATAAAATATTGATTTCTTGGATTTCATTATTTTGACGAGCGCCTGATTTCACCACGATGCTTCACATTATACATTACTAGCTACATAACATTTTATTGAAGAAGTGATTTATCTTCATTGCGAACAACTGAGTGTGTTGAAGAAAGTATGTTTTTATGTTATGATCTCGTGTGTTTATATATGGTCGCTTTTAAGGACTAGCAGGCTAACCCTGATTTTGGGGCTTTCCAGAAATCTTGACCTACACCAAAAGTGGGCATTGCCCTACCAATAGCAGAAGTTTGGTTTCATTGGTGTGTGTATTTGTTTGGTTATAGAGAAAACTCTCCTTGACTTTTAAAGAAACTGAACAAGGAGCAAAAACTTTACCTTTGATTTTCTGAAAACAGCATTTTTGGGGATAGCCCCCTTGTGCTTAGAAGCGACCATATGTGAATGTGTGTGTGTGTGTGTGTGTGTGTGTGTGTATGTGTGTGTGTGTGTGTGTATGCATTTGCCAGTTTTACATAAAAGAGAAGGAGAGAAATGAAGAGAGAGATTGAGAAACAGAGAGAAGTTTAGGGGGGGGGGGAGAGGAAGAGAGAGAGGGAGGGGGAAGTGAAAAAAGTTTTAGCAGCCTGTCAAATGCTAATCATGTAGAGTATCTCTCCTGAGTTCAGCGCAACTTTCCTACTTACTTCATCAAAATTTGTCCTCAGAGCTCACATGATGTCCATCACTGGCTGCCGATACTCTAAGAGTGCCAGTGTTCTTGTAACATCAAGCATTGATTGTGAAGGTGGCGTGTTAATTCTTTTCTGTGTTTGACCAGCTTTACATCTTTGACATTTGAATCTGATTACTCTTAGTCATTGGTGATAGAAAGGTAATAAAATAATAATATATAACATTTATAGAGCGCATTTCCAAAAAAAGTAGCTCAATGCGCTTTACATTGGAATACCCATTTTTCAAAAACCTTTCTTACTACTTCCTTTCTTCTCAAGCAATATACATTAATGCACACACACACACACATACACACACACACACACACACACACACACACACACACACACACACACACACACACACACACACACACACACACACAGAGACTATTTTCATCCAGACATAGGAAAAGAACAAATATAATGAAAGATAACGTTAAAAGCTTATGAAGGATAGGCCTGTAGGAACAGAAAATGTTTAAGATGTCTTTTGAAGCTATCAAGTGTTCTTATTTGTCTTAGTTTCATGGGTAATCTGTTCCACATAAATGGACCAAGATATGAGAAAGATCTCTCTCCATATGATTTGTATGATTTTACAGGTGTCACAAGTAGGGTGTTATCGTTCGATGATCTTAGGTTTCTCCCTGGTTTATATATACTGATAAGTTCTTGTAGATAAAAAGGAGCAGTTTTATTTACACATTTGAAACACATGACGCAGATTTTAAATATTATTCGTTCTTTTACAGGGAGCCAATGCAGTTCTTTTAATAATGGAGTGACATGGTCTCGTTTTTTAGATCTTGTTATCAGTCTAGCGGCATTGTTTTGAATTACTTGTAAACGATTCAAATATTTGTTGTTCAGACCTGCTAGGAGTGAGTTACAATAGTCTAATCTAGATAGGATAAGAGATGTTACCAGTGTTTTTGTGGTCTCTTCGCTTAAGTACTTTCGAACTAGGCCTATCCTTCTCAGCTGAAAATAAAGGGATTTGGACAGAGATCCTACAAACGAGCCCATTGATTGTATTGGTGGTCATGGTCAGTCATATTTTATTTTCTGTTTCCCAATTTTTTTTCAATCGTGATCCTACCTCCTGACCCCCTCCCCCTTTCCTCGGTCATCCTCGCCCCCTTACCTGGTGCGACTATTTTTGATGACTGTATTTTCTTCTAAATGCTAATGTAAAAGGCTTTAAAAAGTATGCCAGATAAGCCGATTAAATGTGTTCTCATTTCTATACCCATCCAATTTTACTCTGTTCCTTCTTTCTATATTTTTGCATTTCTAGACACAAATCTGTTTAACTATATCATGAGTACACCTTAAAAAAAAAAAAAACAGGTTGAATCATTCAACACAATTTCATGTGCTTTTGTCATTTCCAATATCTTCTCATGACTTACAGTTAAAGTCTGGAGTTTGATGGGTGGCCTTGTCCACACATTCCGTGGTCACTCTCGAGCAGTGACGAACCTGATTCTTCACCCAGCCACCCCTAGCATTGTCATCACCTGCTCCCTTGATGGGACAGTCCGCATGTGGTCACTCGACACAATGGACACACTCTATAGGTAGGAGAACGTTACTCCTAGTTGACAGGGTGATAATGAGAGAGAGAGGGAGGGAGAGAGAGAGGGAGAGAGAGAGAGAGAGAGAGAGACAGAGAGAGAGAGAGAGAGAGAGAGAGAGAGAGAGAGAGAGAGAGAGAGAGAGAGAGAGGGGGGGGGAGGGAGGGAGGGAGGGAGGGAGCGAGAGAGAGAGAGGGAGAGAGAGAGAGAGAGAGAGAGAGAGAGAGAGAGAGAGAGAGAGAGAGAGAGGAGGAGGGAGAGAGACAGACATACAGATAGGCAAATGGAAAGTTCTCATTGTGAGGCTGACCATTTACTTTTCATTTTTTAAATCGACTTATAACTGAACAGGGCTCACTACTGGTAGTTTTAGAGATTGCCTTTATGTTCATGTTTTTGGACCACACACAGTTAATTCAGTCACAAGCATTTGAATCTCTATTTCTTTTATATAGACAAAATAATGAGATAAAAAATGAATGTCAATCTTTTCTGTTAATCCTGAACACTGCACTACTGTGAAAAATCATCTTCTTCTTCTTCTTCTCGATCGCATCACACTTGAAGTCTGGTATCTGTCATAAATTGGGCCGTCCTGCTCAGTTCATCTGGCGGCCGGTATAGCTTCTCTTGCAGCATCAGTGGGGTTGGTCACGTTTCCTGTCTTAGGGCCCTGTGTGTCTTGCAGTGCTGAAGGATGTGTTCAACTGTTTGGTCCACCTCTCCACTCTGGCATTTTGGTGATTGTACTAGTTTAAAACATTTATACATATGTTGTCTCAGTCTTGTGTGTTGTGTCCTTAGTCTGAAGATAATCACTTGTTGTTGGCGGGACAGCTCATGGTAGCCATCTGGTGTCTGAGGTGCTTTAAATAGTGTACTTATAATAGTTTTTATTTCTATGTAGTTAACGCTGTTGTCTGGTTGCTCTTTCTGTGCTCCTAGTTTGGCCATCCTGTCTGCCTGCTCATTTCCTAAGACACCACAGTGTGATGGAATCCACTGCAGCATGATCCTCAGACATGGGATGTCCTCAATTTCTTTTCGTAGCCTTGGTAGTTTGCCGGAAGTGATTGCCTGCAGTACTGACATGGCATCTGTTAAGAACACTACTTGGCTTTGCGGGTCTACCACATTCTTGATGATGTTTGCTGCATGTATTAGAGCCTCCGTCTCTGCCCTGTAGTTTGTACAATGTCGCCCTGTTGGGACTGCCTCTGCTTGTCGTCGTCCATTAGGGAATTGTACGTACACTTTGGCTCCTCCTCTTTTCACAGCACCAGTGGCAGATCCGTCTGTATTGATCCTTTTCCATGCTTCTCGTGGGTATCTTTGTTCAAGCATGGACAGGGTGAGGGACTTCTTGCTCAGGTCGCTGTGGTCATCTTTTGTGGTGAACATAGGAATTGATGTGTGTATAGATATGTTTGTGTTTGTCTTTTCCCATGATGGTGCCTCTGGGGTGTGATTCAGCATGTTCACGGTGGCTGGTAGATAGTCCTGTAGGGATCTTTGGATTTTTCTGCTTTCTTTGATGAAGTTGGACCTTTTTAGTCTTGTGGTGTTTGATCTGGCTGTTCTTGTGTGCAGTATATGATCCTCCATAGCTATGACCTTGGTGTACTGTATGAGGGCCTTGCATTCCCATCTCCTCTTCAGGGCCACTATAGATGTTATTTGTTCCATCTTTTCTACAGGCGTTGACCTCACTGCTCCAGTGATTATTCGGAGAGCCTGGTTTTGCACTTTTTCCAGAGTGTATTTGTGAGTCTGTGCTGCAGTCATCCATGCACTGGATCCGTAATCATGATAATACAGTATTTCATGGATAGGTCGAACACAGAAAACTCGATATCACGCATCCGTCAAACTGTGGCTGCGGTCCCGTTTTTTTGTTCTTCTTTATCTTCGTAAGATATCCCTCAAACTATGGATTCCTCGAACTACCGAGGCAGATCCTGATGAATTCGAGCTATCCATGTTATACTGTAGTAACAAGCTGTCCAGATGGTCAAATCTCTGAGTAATTAGAGGGAAGACCTTGGTAGATCCTATGCTGTTTCTGCACATTCTTATTTTTGTCTGTTGTTTTGCTTTTTTTCTTCCCAGAATAAAACCTTTTACAACATTAATAGGTTTCCTTCTACTTCTTTACAGTTGTTTAAAAGATGTTTCAGTGATGTCCTTCTCATTCTACTTCTCTGTCTTGAAAAATGTTGCTTTCTGGGCTTAGAACATTTGAACAACTCACAGCGAAATATGATTGAAAATTATGGAAAATGCTTTATCTTTATTTTTTCCTCTCTTCGCGGCTAGCCTGGTGGTGTCTGTTGATGGAGTTCTCTGGATGGGCCTCACTGATGATAATATGCTGTTTATGAGCACACCAAGGGCCCTGACGCTGTGGAACCTCAACTATAGCATGCAGTTCTGGGCCCTAGCCCGTAGCAGTGTAACTCGCATGAAGCTCTGTGGCAGCAGGGACAAGACCACAAGGCTGATGGCTGTCAGCGAGGATAGCAGGTGCTGATTGAAATATTGATTCAAATTGGAGTCATCATGTTACTTTCCATCTCTGTAGAAGATTCCGTTTTCTTACTTGAAAAGTGTATAAATTTAATTTTATTATATTTTGTGTGCATGTGTGTGTGTGTGTGTGTGTGTGTGTGTGTGTGTGTGTGTTTGTGTGTGTGTGTGTGTGTGTTTGGTTGTAGGGATGGGGGGATTGGATGGCTCTGAAAAACATGTTGGGTTAAAACATTGAATTACTGAACTGTTTCAGTTGGATCAGTCTAAACTAGCAAAGTCCACCATAGAGAGGAACAACTCACTTTATCTTTTCAACCCCAGTTGATTGATTCTTAAGTGTTTGTGGCGGTCTTAAACTTATTAAAAAAATTGAATGACCGAGTGAATGGTATTGTTCTGCTTTTTTAACAGGGACCAATCTTTCTTGTAACTGAAAAATACTACAACATTATTGGTACAGCAGTGCATTCACTTCTCCAATGTTCAGAGTAGAGTATTAATGTGATTTTGTGATCACCATCACATTGAAATTAACCATACTCAAAATGAAATTGACATATATTTTTTTCAAAATAAAAGGGAAAATGTCCAGAAAAGCTATTAGCTTAAAAAATTAGTTGCCAGCTGAGATCAAAGTTTGGGTTATTATTGGCTTATTGCTCTTTTTTTGGTATTCACATTAATCCTTTTAAAAAAAATGCTTTATATGCAAGTATGTTTTGCTTCTCTGTAATAGGATATAATATCATAAAAGTAAAATATAAAAGCAAAGAAAGCCATTGTCTATAGTTTATGTTCTGTATATTCTGAAATTTTAAACTGAGACAAAAGCACAAAATAAGTCTTTTTTCATGTTATGTCTTTAATGTTAAAATGCTGATCTGTTCCCCAGTATACGTCTGATGGCACGGAGCAACTGTAAGAACCTGAGTACTGTGCTGCCCCCTCCCAGCATCTCTCCGCTGCAGCGTGTACTGAGCGTCTGCTACAGCCGAGAGTTCAACGTCATCTACATGCTTATCAATCCTCACGAGATTTGGTTGTACACCAGCAGGTGAACAGCTACTCAATTTACTGAAGGAAAATTAACCTTTTCCTTTTCACACTCGTTGTCAGTAATGGCTGTCCATATTTTTTTTTCAAATTTTTGTGCACTGAGCAGCCTCCTCATATTCACATTGTTTTACGCGTAGTGGAAGTAAAGGTAAATTGTTACTTGGATTGCTGACTCTGTCACACTTTTCTCACTACATGTAGAAACATTGTTTTTTTTGTTTAGCAAATATCTTTGTTGCCATACTCTTTTCAGTACTAAAGTGACCTCACTGTAAAAGATTGAATTTGAAACTTGTATAGTTTGATTGTTTTTTGTAATGTAAGCCTCTCCTACTACTACTAAAATATACAGTCAAAATTGTCCAAGACGACCGCCCGTTGTCGAGGAGAAAAGTGGTTGTATTAAATAGGTAGACGTCTTGGTCAGTGTCATTATGATATAGCAAAACTACAAGTGGGAAGTGGTAATACCTACAAAATAATTGTCTTGGGCAGGTAGCCGACAGAACAGGTTGTTTTTAAATATCTTTTTTGTAAGTCATACTGGTGGGGGGGGGGGGGGGGGGGGGGGGTCCTTGCTAAAATCAGACATGTAAGAGGAAATGATCAAATTTACAAATTTTGATTGTGGTGGCTCACAGGACGGACCCATGTTGTAGAATGGCAGTTTGGGATGTGATTGACATCCAGGACACCTTCCTGGAACAGAGGCATGGCACAAACATGATGGGGGAGGAAATGGGAACCACCACGTAAGTACCAGAGACTGTTCACTGCTAACCCCTTACTGTTGACTGTGCTATCTGAGTTTGCTGGTTTCAAGATACGTACCAGAGATTGCTCAATGTTAACCTTACTGTTGACTCTGTTACCGAACAGTTTGTTGGTTTCATTTTTTCAGGAGATTTGTGTGCATTTAAACTAAACATTAGACCATCAGATTTGGTATTTTATGTTTCAGATTCTTGTTGGAAGTGATTTAAATTGATACTTTTTTTTATTCCACAAGCATTTATTGTATAATGGTTAGGTTTTTTTGCCTTGCATACCAAGTACATGAATTCTTCCACCTCTCTTCTTTTGAAAACTATCCACATGAACTGTTTCTTTACATACCTGTCACTTTTCATATCTCTTAATGCATATATTTTTACATTAACTTACATATTTTAATCATGTTATGTCTGCATGATGCATTTGAATGCCCTTGCGTGTTAGTGCTGCATGTATTCTAATGCCATTGTAGGCAACTAATATGGCTCGTAAAGTGCATTGAGATTTGTAAGTTATTGAAATAGGTTATATAAATGTCTAGTATTATTATGATGATTATTATTATTATTAATACAATTCCCATACCCAGAAGATGATTTTATGTTGGCTCGTAAAATGTAGTTGACAGTCTGAACAGCTTATTCAGTGTGTTGTGGAGAATATGGTACTCATGAAATAGTTTACATAACACTCTATGGTGTATAAGGATAGACAAAAAGTGATTTGTGAGTAGTTTGCCAAGAAACAAGATTTTTCTCCTGTTGTTTCAAATGTCTCTTGCAATTTCAGAATTTTGAAAACTTTGTTTTTGCTTTGTTTATTTGTTGCAAATAAACACAAGGCTTATCTTTGGAAAAGAGCAGGTACAAAGATTTCTTTTTTTCTACAATTGACATAACTAACCATCTGACTCGATACTACACTTTAAAGAAACCCACAAACCCTTTGATGCCAATGTTATGAAGAACTTAACTTTCCCAGGTCATCGTGGAATAAACCATCTCCTAGCCACCGAGCCACGGAGAATGGGGTTGGCAATGAAGTGCTGTCCAACTGCTGTTGTATTACAGTCCTCAACTCCACGGCAATGGTGTGGACGGATGAAGGCTGTTGCTGTCCCATCAGGGACTCCTATCTGCTCTTGGGTTTAGAGGTATGCTCTTAGTCTATATTATTAGGCTATAAATTAGGATGTCAATCATACCTACAAAGGTTTGTTTTGTGATTTTTTTCTGGAAATTGAAGGGGTTACCTATTTTGTAAAAAAGATGCTGGTTAATTTTGTCTGTGAGCAGATTTTAAGCCTTTTTCCAAGTTTTGCACAAGTTGTTAAAGGAATTTCCCATTCGTTTATTCTGCATCTCTAGTAAATTTTAGTTTCATGTAAGGGGAATTAATAAAGTGAACATTTATCAGAAAATGTTAATGAAATAACTATAATTTTATTGTTTTTTAAATTATGTAAATTGTTTTGAAAAACAAGTTAAAATCAAAGTCTTTTTTGACCAATTTAGTGCCTGATTCAAGGGAAAAGAAGAATTCTAATTCAACAGTATTTCTATGAAATGATTGTAGTTTCATGGGTACAGACTGGTCCATTGCTGTTCAAGGAAAGTATGCAAAGACAGATTTTTTACTTCAGATCTCCTCTTTTGTTATTTCCTAGGATGGCAGAATCTTGTTCATGGATCCTGTGATTAAAGGACACAAGTATCTAGAATTCAAAACTGGGAAAGACCCTGTAAGTATGGGTACAAAGGATTTAGCTTTAGTTGAAGTGATAGGCACACATTATATGGTATTTTTCTTTAGACGTACATAAAATCAGATCTAATCATTTCAGCATTCCTTGATTAGATGAGCTTCATCACAAAACACATTATTTGCACGTTTAGTGCCTTAAACTTTTTTTGGGTTGGTGCACCTAGGTAGTTCTTGGTGACCGCTATGACCATAGCAAACAATGAAAGTCACAGATGATTAACTGTCTTGATAATAAGGATTCAATTTTTTCTTTTTCACAGACAGCCTTGTAAGCTGAATGTAATATTTACACTAACACATAATCAAAGTAGATTAGATTATACTAATTTTTTTAAAGGCCATAAGAGAAGATGAAGAGAATGGCTTCTCTTCAGATAAAAATCTAATACAAAAATTTTACTTTTATGTCTCATTAATATCCTATATTTATATCTGGATGGCTTCCCTTCAGATAAAAATCTAATATAAAAATGTTACTTTTATATCTCATTAATATCCTATATTTATACCTGGATACCTGGAGCTGCCATCTCTGGCTTAGAGGTTGACATGCCATGACCTACCAGAGCTTACAGTTGCTTTCTACAGTTATAAACTCTGTCGTACTTAGGCCAGTACATACCTTGATGTTAATGGTCCACATTGTTCTTTGTCCACCCTTCGCCCTTTTGCCCCACATCTTGCCTTCAAGTATTTCCGTTATAATGGTCTGGTGGCATTTTATATGACCAACATTTATGTGGCTGAAATAAAAGCCTTTCGCGTTATGTTATAAGGTCAGATGATACAGATATCTATGGGATTATTGCAGGTTATTTCTGTTCTAAATTTGTAATAATTTCACCTGAGTCAGGGTAAGATATCTTCATTGTTTCTAATCACAATGCCGATTCAATCTTCAATGTTATGTCACCTCAGTTTTATTATAATATTTTGTTCTGGTTTTCCTGTATCAAACTCCTTTGATATATTTGTGTTATTTTCTCGTTTACATTCACTCCACCAGTTAATGGTATTGGCCCATTCCTTTAAAGCTTATTATACCCTGTACTGAGGATAGAAAGATTGTCTGAAAAAATCACCTCTACTTAGTTTATTATATCACACCAAATTTCCTGTTTTGGATGATTCAAGTATGTCTTATCTTATCCTATCTTGTGTTTTATGATTTACCAGAATGACTTCTCTTTTTATTTTCAAATGTGGCCACTGTGCTCCTGACAGCATCAATACCTTCATGGCTGTTCACCATAGTTTGTTGTGCTGCTTTTTCTCAAAAATTGATTTCCCTGTCAAGAAATACAGCAGCACGATTTCACTTCTTATGTTATCAGCTGATCTCTTCACATGCCAACCTGCCTATCACATACCATTCATCTCACTGAGACAATCTCATTTGATCACACTTTATTTCTGGACTAAAACTGTTCTTTTGAGCTATGCCAGGATTTTGTCGACATGTGCACAAACTTGAAGCTATTTTGTATATGCAGATAAAGCATTTTAAAATCTTTTTTTTTGATCTGTCAACAAGTTTTATATAGATTTCACAATGTATAAAATGAAATTTAAAAACTCTATTGTTTTAAATTTTAAGTCTTTTGTGTATTTTTTTATCATCATAAGACAACTTTACTCCGTAACCATTTTTTTTCCTAGTAATTGTCACTAACGTGACAAAATTAGGTTACCACTAATGTAACATCCCTCACCCGAACAGAAAAAGTCCAATAGCAATAAGGAATCTCCACTAGACTTGAATGCCATCCTAAATTTCCCATTGTTCCTTCGGCTGGAGGCTGTGTTTATTAAGACAGTTTTGCATCATGGCCAACTGTTAAGGCAGCTGAATAGTTCATAACTGATTTCTCCTCCTTAGAGAGGAGCAGCAATAGAGAGGGCAAGATGTAAAAGTAAGATTTTCATCTCATCCCTCCACCCCTTGAAACAATCATTGCTGTTGTTTTTTCACAGCTGATCTGTTTACCTTCTCTGTCTGCAGAACAGCTCTACTTGTTCCACTGACTTGGGTAATAGTGTGGAGAAAGTGCCAAGCCAGTTTTTGTCCTCTTTCCCTCCCCTACAGAATTATAATCTACTCCGCATTATTATAGTTATCATGATTGCATGTTGATGCTTCTCTTTAACTCAAATACACCAGCCACGACTTACCTGCAGAATCCCTCGCTCTCCCTCTGCAGGTGTTGGACATGTGTCACGACACAGAGCACAACGGCCTCATCACACTGTACAAACTTAAAGACAGAATGCAGATTCATGTCTGGGGGTTACCGGACCTTGAACTTCAGCATGAAATCTATGTGTCTCCGGATCTCAGGGACTATGCCCGTGTGGTGAGAATCAACAACAAAGTCTACATTGACACCAGTGTGAATAAGTTTTTGTTCCAAAGATTAAGATTGGAAAATTGTCTTTAAAAATCCTATTACAACACTGGCAATGAAACAGATACCTTGTTTTTCTAGGGCCTATTACTGAGTTCTAATTTCTGTGGATTTCATTACATAAGTTTATAAATTTGCACAAAAGAAAACATCAAAAGGGGTACGTCTTTAAATACACTGCCTTCAGTTGAGTATTGCTGCGGATTGTGAGCCAAGAATGTGCTTGAAGCTTTAACAAAATAGTGTTTTCTGTGTCATCATGTATTCCCACATCTCTATCTTTTCTATTTTACTTGTCATGTGTGTTTCCCATCCTACCCTCCTCTGTCCTTCCATTCTTACCACCCCCGTACTTCCTTTCCAGGGCTACATACTTGTAACAGGACATGAGAGCGGCAGTGTCATCTTTAACACCCTTGAACACGCAACAGATCCAGGGCTGCACAAGGCCAAAAGTGAGTTTGTGTACATGAAGTCTCTCAAGAAAGACAAGATCGTTTATATATGTATAAAAGCCTCTGTTTACCTATCTATTCCTTTATTTACCTTCGCAATGCTTTTTTCCCTTTTGTCCATGTTCTAGATTACCTTTCCAGTGTCTTCATTCACCTTTCCAATTTCTTTCTGTGCATTCCAGATGCCTCTTTTCACCTTCCTAATGCCTCTGTCTACCTTCCCAGTTCCTTCATTTACCTATCCAATTTTTTTTCTTCTGTGTTTTCCAAATTCCTCTATTTGATAATAATAATAATAATAGATAGCATTTGTATAGCGCATGTCCCCGCTCAACAGCAGGCTCTATGCGCTTTACACTATATTATTACCCCAGCAGACCATAGAACATTCCGAAACATTCTCAGCTTCCCGGGAAGCATACAGTGCAAGCAGCCGATTAAGCGCTCAAACACTAACAAACTGACAAGATCTTTCGCTGTCTATAGCCGGGTACCCATTCCCACCTGGGTGAAGTGAGGAAAATTCATGTAAAGTGCCTTTCCCAAGGACACAACGTCGGGCCTCTGACAGGATTCGAACCCACGACCTTACGGTTGCGAGTCCGAGAGCCTAACCACTAGGCCACCGACGCCACAGGCATTTGCCTCCCTAGTCTTTCTATTTACCTTCCCAAGTGCCTTTGTTTACCTTTATGTCAACCCAATGCCTTTGCTTGTTCTCACTATACTTTTGTTTATAACTGAGTTTCATTTTATATGTTTTTTAGATTTATGTATTACATGTGTCCTCCTCCTCTCCCTTGTTCTTCTGCTTCTCCTGTCGCACTTGAGAAGTCATTCAGGTTTTGACGTAAATTCGTTGCATGTAATGAGTCATTTTTCTCTGCAGTTCCTTCAGGCTGTGAAAAGTCTGACGTCCTTATGGTTGTGTTGTTATCCCCAGTGCTTCCACCATACCACGAAGTGATTGACACCCACCATAAGCCTGAACATCAGGCACCAATCATCACTGTTGATGTCTGCACCACTCTCAAGATCTTCTGCTCTTGCAGGTAATATCCCCCATAGTGTTTGATGAATTTTTTAATGATGCACCGGGTAATGTTTCCTACTTGAAAGCACTTCCTTGAGCAATATTCTCTCTGCCGTTCCTGTTTCTGGAGTGCTTCACACCCACTTAGAAGAGTAGCCATAGTTCATCGTCAGGTATAAAAAATTGTTTTAAAAAGATCGCTTTCAGTTATCCATGTAGAAATTTGAATAACAACAGCAGTGTTTAGTTCCATTACAAATTATGTCAAAACAGCCATTTCTGCTATCATTTATAACAATATTGTCATATGCTGATATAAATGAACCCTAGACGCAAAAAAAGTATCCTGTATAGGTTTTAAAAAAAAAATTATATTAAAAGTGACTCCAGAATGTGATGATTTTTGTTATTTAATGTGAAATTGGCTTCTCCAGAATTGACAACCTAGCGACAGATAATATCATCAATGGTTGGCTTTGATGCATACTCTTCAATTCATCTTTCACAGGGTAAATGTTTATGGTTGTTATCACTGTGCTCAATTCTGGTGTTACTCTTAGTTTTCCGAGTTGGCTTTTTGAAAAATTTATGTTAAAATATTTTGTGTGAGTATGTCACTTGTATTTCTGTTATTTATTTGTGTGTCTTTTTTTTGGCAGTGATGATGGTGCCATAAAAATCTGGAGTGATGATAACGTCCTTATGACAGAGATCATGTTAGACACGAGTCTGACGTCAGCTTGTTTCCTCAACACCATGGGGGACCTGTTGGTTGGGTTTCAGAAGCACATCTTCTACATGGACCACACTAAAGGTGAGAATTTCAACAATTCTTTGTCTTTGCTTCTGAAAAGATGAAACTTTATGTTCATTACATGTTTCTCCTGTTGGTTTGTTATGAAGTTTTTGAGCCTTTAATGGCTCCATTATTGGAGAAATCCACTCTTAATGTACATGATCAGCTGAGTCAACAGTTGCAACATGCACGAAAGATTTTTAAACACTGACAACAGCCAAATGTTATCAAAACATCAAACAGAAGAGAAATAACGTAAAAGTCAAGAAAAAATGTTTAAATCCTTATGTAAAGTTAGTACAGAAAAGTATATTATTATACAGTCAAGCCTGCTCTAATGACCACCTGTCCAAGAAAATCACCTATCCAAATGACAAAGTCCCACTTCCTCCCTTACTTAAAAAAAAAAGTTATAGTGACATTGACCACTTTACTCCTCAACAACGGGTGGTATCGGTGGCCTTGTGGTTAGGCTATAGGACTCGTAATGGTGAGGTTGCGTGTTCGGGGGTTTGAGCCGCGGGCCCGACGTTGTGTCCTTGGGAAAGACACTTTACACGCATTTTCCTCACTTCACCTAGGTGAAAATGGGTATCCGGCTATAGACAGTGAAAGATCTTGTCAGTTTGTTAGTGTTTGAGCACTTAACCTGCTGCTTGCACTGTACGCTTCCTGGGAAGCTGAGAATGTTTCTGAGTGTTCTATGGTCTGCTGGGGTAATAATATAGTGTAAAGCGCATAGAGCTTGCTTTCGAGTGGGGATATGCGCTATACGAATGCTATTTATTATTTATTATTATTATTATTAATCTTGGACAGGCTTGATTGTACTTTCATTAAGTCTATAATAACACTTGACAAGGCTTGCATCACAGCCTAACATCAAGAATAATGTGGCTAACAATTAGTGTGTTGTATATGTCACCATGGTTTCCTTGGTTCCCTAAAGTGCCTATATTTTCTACTGCTTTCACATTATTCCTTTATAAATGTCTGTCTTGTTAATTTTTTCCAGCTCTAAATACCATTATGTGTCAATGCCATTTTATGTATATGTACAAAAGAGAAACAAAGAGTTTTCATGTTTGTCTCAACATGATTTATGTTTGAAAATAAGTTGATGGAATATAGTCGCTTTTAAGCACAAGGGTGCTATCCCGAAAAACGAAGTAAAGTTTTTGCCCCTTGTTCAGGTTCTTCAAAAGACAAGGAAAGTTTTTTCTATAACCAAACAAATATACACACCAATGAAACCAAACTTCTCCTGTAGGTAGGACAATGCCCACTTTTGGTGTAGGTCAAGATTTCTGGAAACCCCCGAAACCTGAGTTAGTCCAGTTGTCCTTAAAAGCGACAATATAATTCATTGTATTCGCCCTCAATGTTCAACTTGTTCTCTGTTCTTAGTGTGCTCTCAGCTGACCGTTACAGAAGCAGAGATGGAATCTTTTGATAAAGGTAGGCTATGAGGTCATGCACGGTTATGTAGTAGTTGCTGTAGTTAGCCTATGTAGACTCTCCTTTAACTGTGGATGGGTGGTGAGTACTGTGTTGGGATCTGTTATTTCTTCTTCTTTTTGAATGTTGCTATTTCCCTTGTTATAATCTGCTTTGCCTGATAGACATATGTGAGGCAGCGTGGTGGAATCGGGCTCTCGTCAAGTTTTGGGCATGTAGAGTTATTGGTATCATCTTAAAACTTGTTCACTTGTCTTTATTTTGGTGAAAAAAATATCCATTTATCTTGAATACAAGTCGAGATATTTGCGAAAGAAGGAGGTGGGGGTCACTTGTTTTCAGAGGTAAAATTAGTGAAAAAATGGCTCCAAAGATTAGTTATTTCCTTAGTTTAAGAGTCCATGGTAACTGATAATTTACATTTTTTGTGCCTTTAATCAACGTTTTTCAGAAAAATCCCCACAGAAATGAGTTTTTTAATGGGGATGAAAAGTGTTGAGCCAAAAGACAAAAATGTAATAAAATTTCACAAACCTGCGGAAAAATGCAAGTTTGTTCACTTTGATTATTTTGACGAGAGCCTGATTCTACCTCGCTGCCTCACATATGTACATTTAGACATTTATAAGTATTAAATATGCTACAGAAATGTTAATTGATTGAAATGATGAGCAAATAGTGCTCATACTCACTCTTCCTACCAGGAGGTTGTTAGGGGAGACAGAGATCATTAGATAGACTTCACTGTACTTCAGAAGGAATTACAACTCCTTTGTTATAGTGGAAAGACACTTCTGAACACCTCTGAATAGCTGTTCTAGTGAAATTCATTCATCTTGGTACATCTTCTCTGCCTAATTTTTTTCTTTCTTTCTTTTTGTTTGTACTTGTCTCTGTTGTTGCTCCCATTTGAAGTGACTGTCATATATGTACACATACAAATGTGGGCATTCAACTATTTCAAAACAAAAAAGACACAATACCTAACTATCTGTCTCTTGCTGCCGATGTAGTCATCAACTCTCATAACAGCGTCATGGAATCTTCTTGTAAAACTTTGACTGCTTTTGATAACTATTCGACATGACCACGTAAAATCCATTGGTGCTGGACTCATGAGTAAAATGAGTTTGGTTTCTTCCCCAGAATCATTCATCTGTGAGGACCCTGCTGTGTTGTACGAAGGTGTCACTCCGAACCCTGACCCTGTGAACTTACAAAACTACCTGGTAAAGTTTCAGTAATTCCAACAGGACATGCTTATTTATCAGCGATGATTGCTTCCCCCTCACCTTTTTCCCACCCTCACATACACACACACACGCACACACACACACACACACACACACACACATACTCCTCCCCCACACACACACACATCTGCTCCGCCCCCACACACACACACTCAGTTCGGACTGAGGGTGAAAATGGGTTCTTTGCATTTACAAAGAAAAAAAATAGTGTGGTATAGTCTGTTATTGCCTCTGATGTGAAGCTCATATATGTATGAGCATACAGAAAGAGGCATATCTACTATACATGCACTCCCACACATTTGTACTAACACACACATATTTTGTACGCACTTATACAAAAATGTACACATGCCCTCATAATATACATACACACACACTGATACTCAAAGCAAGTTCAGACACACAAACACACAAACATGCACAGACACTTGTGTATGTTTTTTAATCCCTGATCTTTTGATCTTCTTATCTACTTTTTTCACCTTTCCTGTTCTTATCTCCCCGCAGGTTCCGTTTGACATAGAGTTTTCTAAAGACTTCCTGGAGGGAAGAGTGAAATTAGAACCTGAGGTGGTGAAGAAAGAGGTAAGTATTCTTTCTTTCTGTCTTTGAGAAACATTTTGCTTCCAATTTTTTCCCTTCTTATGGGCACGGGCAACCTGAGTCGTAGATGGGAAGCAAAGTGTTAGAATGAAAGAAGTACTTAGCTCTATAATGGTTCTGCATACCTGCAAAAATGGTCTCCTGGAGGGAAGATCTGAAAAAAAAAAAAAGAAAGGAAATAGGATTAACTTTTCTATCCTTTCTGTGCCTGATCGAAATAGCATTGTTATTTTCAGACGGTTTTGATAAGAAATTCTCAAAGCTGTAAACTGTTGAATATTTTCTGGTGTTTTGTATTGGAGTCTGTTTGGAGGAAACTCTTTTACCCTTCATTTTTTTTCTCAGGATGCTGGCAGATGAAAAAGTTATTGAAACTTTCTTGCACTTCGTTAACCGAAAGTATATGTCTGCACCAACGAAATTTAGCTGATATCCTGCCAACATGATATAAAACCATATTCAGTGTGACTCGCATCTACAGTATAATGCATTCATTATTACAGTTTTTGTGCTCTTAGAATGTATGAAAGTTCCCAGCCGATAAGAATCTCTGCACATTAACTATCAGTAGATAGGACAGTCAACAAAAAAATTAACGGTGCATAACATGCTGGAGTTCGTTTGAAACGTACGTGATGAAAGAATCTGTAAAATGAGGTGGTCAATTCATTTCGTCTTGTCGGTTAATGAACATGTGTTTTTTAAAGCTTTCAAAAATATATTTAGAAGGAGAAATTGGAATAAAATATTTCGTGAGGATGAAATAAAATGGTTGATAAGGTGATCAAATCTCAGTTTTCCCCAAAATATGATTTTTCACTATATTTTCCATTTTCTCGAATTAAGCCTATTCGATTTCCGGACCCTTTTCTTAGTCACACACACATATTATAATAACACTATCCAAAACGTCCACCTGTCTAAGACAACCACTGTTTTTCCCCCACAATTTGTGGCGGTCTTGAACAATTTCAACTGTATGTGATCTTTGATTGGCTGACTTTTCTTAATTTTGTAAACATATTTTCTACCTTTTTCGTATACGATTAATGAAGTATCTTATTTAATCATTTCACAGGAATCTGATGAAGAATCTGAAGTGTCGATGGCACCAACAGAAATCTACTACTCTCCAGACTCAACTCCAAGACGTCGCTTGTCACTGGTCGACCTAACCCTGGGTTCAGAGGTCAGCAAGTATGACTTGCTCAAACACATGAAGAAAACTCTGGATCATCTCGCTGAAAAAGGTGAGTGGTATCCGATGTGAGCTATCGTGCAATGTGGTTTTTTGTCTTGGTGTTAGTGTGTTACTTATTTTGTACACTTGTACATTTGTCAATATGGACTTTGTCAATGCTTCAGCGTGTGCTTTCATCGGCAGAGACTTTGTGTCAGTTCATCAGTGTGGAGTTTCAGCTGTAGTCAGTGTTTCTCAGGATTACCATCCCTGCTTATTATGATTTTTTTTTACTCCATCAGCAGCCCAGATGTTGTTTTTTCCCTCTAAAAATTTGAATATCGTCAGACAGGAATGGTTCCATTATTTCCTCTCCATAAACTCTTTCCAGGCGTATCGCCGATATATCGGCTGTTATAGGGTGCCTCAGTATTGTTTTATTTTAACATGATCCGTCATTTATAATTACATTGAAAAACCCGGAAAGGATTTAGGGAACGAAAACATCTAGTTTCACTTTGTCAACCCGTGGGTTTGGGGAAAAACGAGTGAATTAGTTTTTACGGTCTTGCATCAACAAAACGATCTAACCGGACTCAGTATAAATATCTTAACTCAAACAAAAATTGGAATATTGCTTTCAAATAAAAAGCTGCGTATCCAAAAATTGATGGATTATGCTCTTGGCCTGTATGGGATAAGATAGCTATTTCTGATTTGGTTTCACATGTTTGGTGAATGTAATTTTTTCCGTCAAAATTTATTTTTCTCATCCCCATCGCCATTTCTAACCCTTGTAATGCATACTTATGTTCACAATCAAGCCTTATTTCACATTGGAATGTATTCGTCATTTAATTTCCTTCAATTTGATTTATCATATGTTACGTTTTGAGAGATGGTTATGCTTCTATGAAGTTATTTTGTACACCACCTACAAAGGCAAATTGAGCCACAAGTTAATTATGTCTAGACCCCTAAAAACTATGTCCGGAAAGAGTTAATGAGTAATTATGTTTGTTTAGGTTTATGAAGTATTAAAATATAAACCGCAGAAATAGGATAAGAACATGTTTTCAGTGTCTGTAGTCATATTATATAAATTATTGGCGAATTAACAGGTAGTAGTCTTCATGTTTATGGATGTGTAAGTGACAGATTTTTTTATTGCTTCTTTGTTGGAATGTGTATTGTTGGTGAGCGTTATGAAATGATCTGCCCCCTTTATTTCTTTCCAATGTCAGGTGCTGCATCAGTCTGTTCCTTATGAAATACTCCCATTACTAAGCTGGTTAGCCATAAGGTGCAGCATGACAATTGCTCATTTTTATGTTTCTTCTTCTGTGATGGTGTATGAAATGGCAGTACTTGTTTACCATGGAGGTTTATGCATTCTTGAACTAACAGAGCGCAGGGAGGCAGCGGAGCTTGCCTTGCAACAGAAGCAGGCCATGCAGAGAGCTACCCCAGGTTATATCTAGTACTTTTGCCACTGCCTTAGTATTGTTGTCACAAAGAATTTCATTTACTATTTGTAGCGTTGTTGCTTTTGCTTTTTGTACAGTAAAGTTGTTAGTTTTCTTCCTGACTCTGTGGCTTCTTCCTTATATATGAAAGCCATCTTATTTCAGAAACCCGATGTCCCTGGCAAGGAGCTGGCTTCATAAATCATGATTATTATTATCAAATAATCAATCTCTTTTGTTTGTTCATGATGTGTGTTCTTAAAAGCTGAGGTCTCTCTGAAAGCTTCTAATAAGCTTACCCAATTAAATTTTTTTCTGTACCAAGCATGAGGTTTGTAGCTGTAAACCTTTGTGTCTATAAAGAAACGTTTTGGCGTTAGCTTTGTTAGTAATCCTGTATGTATTCAGTTTCAGAGTGCATTCAGTCTTCACGTTTATTTCATTTTCTCAAGTTATTTTCACTATAGTCAGAAAACAAACTGTTGTCTTTGAAGAAATCTTTATAGGGCCTATTATTTTAATGTCCATTTTGTACAAATCTACGGTTCAGGTCTGGAAACTCGTTTGCCACATTTTTCTCAAATCGACATTTTTTGCTTTCCTGTGGCCACAGTTCTTTCTTCATCACATATGACAGTGAAAGATCTGCTGACATGGAAAAGCAAAAAAATGTTGGTTTTTAGAAAAATGTGGCATGCAGGGTTTATAAAAACTGCAGTTTTGAAATAAAACATTTACTTCTTAGTAGTAGTCATAGTATGTAGTGTTTTTTGTTCCCTTAGCTTTAGCATTTGCGCTTTATGTCAATCTTATTTTCCTCTTGTCATTGTCACATTCTGCTTGAAGGCAGACATTTTAGTTGTTTGCTTCCCCCCTTTGTATAATTTTTACATACATAAGAAACACTTTAACTTTGTCTTTGTGAATGCTGTAAGTAGCAACATGCTGTAGCTTAGACTATTTTCTTTTGAAGAAGTTCTTATGCACACAACCTCACTACCTTCACACACTTGGGCATTTCTAGTAGGTCTTGACTTTGTTGCTTCCCCCCATCCCAAATTATTTGGGGTAAATAATTCAACCCCCTATATACAGCCTACTTGATGTAGATCTAAGGCCACTGAGCACACACAATATTGTGGGTGTGTGTGTTTGTGTGTGAGGATGCATGAGAGAGAGAGATAGAATGTTAGAATCTGAGACGCGGGGGGGGGGGGGGGTTGAGAGAGAGAGAGAGAGAGAGAGAGAGAGAGAGAGAGAGAGAGAGAGAGAGAGAGAGAGAGAGAGAGAGAGAGAGAGAGAGAGAGAGAGAGATGCAAGTCTTCTTCTTCTTTACCTTCATCTCTAAATGGACATCCCAGTGAGATGCAAGTAAATGTCTGTGGCAGTGCAAGCAGGTGTGTGTGTGTGTGTTGCTTCCTACTCTTTTAAAAAAAAATCCTTGATTGTTTATTCCTTGAGCAGCACTTTATTGTTGTACTTGATATATATGCTTCATCATTTCTCTTTTTTAAATATATATTCTTTGTATTTCTATCTTTTTAGGTGTCATTCATTGTTTGTAGTTAAGTTTCTTGATATTAATTAAAGAAGACATGGGGAGGGGGGGGGAGGAGCTCTCGTGGTCTTGAGGTTGGGGTGTTTGCCTCTCATCTAGTAGGTCCCGGATTCGAAACTAGACAGCAGCGGAAAATGTTCTTCTCTAAAGTTCTCTCCTCTCACCTTCTTTCCTGCTCTCTAACCACGCTATGTTGTATGCTTTCGTCTACACTTTCTGCCCCCACCCCATTCCCCCTTTGCTCCCTCTTTTGGGTTTTTGACTCTTTCTGCAACCTTTCTCCTGCTACTCCTTCACTCGGAGTCCTTGGCTCCTTCTTACTGCTCTCTTTCAGCCACACTCCTGATCTTATGGTAGGCAAGATCTACACCTAGCCTTCTCAGATAAAAGCAAAAAATCTCAGAGGTCCTGTGTGCAAGTTGCGCACGTTAAAGATCCCTTGGTTGTCCAAAATTGATAAGAATAGGCTTCTGCCGCCCTCCAGGCCAAATTCAATATTGATACCTACCAAACTGAAAATGTTTAATTTGTCCCACACACTCATATGACTTATGCAGCTGGGAGCGCCGTAAAACACTTACCAAAAGAGGGCACAGACAGGCAGACAGACGGAGGGGAGAGAATTATGGTTAAATTTACAAAGAATGGATGATGGTTGATGTGACCCAATGCTGAGGAAAAGAAGGAAGAGGATGGATAGATTTAATATAATGTGCTACAGTTCACATTTAAATTACAAATCTTTAAAATGATAAAATATATTGAACCCTGTTATGCAGTTGTTTGATATCTTTTGGCCTCTTTTTGTGAAAGGTTTTCTGTCTTTGTTAATTTATAAACAGGATTATGTTTCCATTATCATAGATAATTGTGCAGGGTGTTATAAAAGGAACAGCACCTGTACAAACCCTCTACAGTTTGTCTTTCCTCTTTTGACGTTTGGTGTAGAATCTGTCATGAAATATAGAGACTGTTAGTAGTCCTGTTTGAGCATCACTGAGTCTTCTTATTACATGAGGATGTATAATTCAATTTTATTTTTATGATACATTTTAAAATATGACCTAAGAGGCGAATTTGGCAAGCTATGTGTATGTTTTAACAGTCTGTTGCTTGTATATAAAATGGGAAACTACCTGTCCATCGACACATTCATTGAAAATGGCTCCTGGATAAGGAAGCAACTCCTATTTTGCTTTATCTATTTAAATATTGACTTCCGGCTTTTTCCGTTTTTTCCGGCCGACTTGCTATTTAGGCCCCAGCATTTTACAAAAGTCTAACTTAAACAATATATATTATGTATATACTAAATAGAGATTATTTGTTGTAATAGAGGGAAAGAAAAAAATATAATTTAATCTCACTGTATTTTTATTTCAGTCAGTGCTTGCGCGCCGTATATCTCCGGTTTTTAAAAAAAACCCTGTTTACATCCCTGATAATATAATATAAAAATGATGTACCTATTATAGTTTCTCCAAGTTATGGTAGATGTTCTTACTCTTTAACTATTTTAATCATTTGATGGTACGAAAGTCTGTTAGTGCTTTATTTGCTTTGATTTTTTATTGAACCGAAAGTTTCTTTGCACAAACTTTTGTTTTTTGACCTGTTGTGTATTTCACTCTTCAGCACACAAGCGAAGGATGAGAAGACAGATGCGTAAATTGGGCTTTGATGATGAAGATCTAGGGCAGACTTATGACAGAGCTCAGAAGGAGGGTCAAGACGAAGGTGTTGAGAAAGATGAAGAAGTGGAGAAGTTTAGCTTCCCACAGTTTGGAGAATCACCGGGCTCCACTCCGAGGTCAACTCCACCCTCCACTCCGGAGATTCTGTCAGGGGATGAGGAGCCAGAGGTGCATAGTTTAGTGTTGTAATAATAATAATAAGAAAGAGAAAAATAATAATATTAATAATAATAATAATAACAATAATAATAATAATGATAATAACATACAGTGCTCAACCCCAATTAAAGTACACAGGCCCGGAGCACTTTATAAAACAAGAAGTTGATTTGTACTTTTTGGCTAGTCTGCATAGCTTGCCACAATTACCCTTAAACTGATAAGAGAAATAGAAAATTTAAAGATTTGTAAAAAGTGCAGACCACGCCAAAATGCTTTCATTATGCTGTTTGATCAGGAAAATAATAATGTCCATCGTTTTGGTTTTGCACTGCTATAGTCACTGTAGTGTAAGGTCCATCGAGAGGTGCAACTTTCTGATTTAACTTCTGCCTTTGATAGGACTGAGCTAAGAGGCCAGGGAGCCTGCAACTCAAATTTACTCCAGTTATCTGTATGCCCCCTGCTATTAAGAAAATGGCATTATATTGAACAAGGTTTGCTTCATGTATGGCAGTTGATTATGATCATGGAAACAATTTATTTTTGTTAAATAAAGGTATATATGGCTAATTTGTGGGTATATGCGAGTAATGTATACTCACCGGCAATAGTAACTGTCCACTTGGAAAGAAGCCTATATTGTGGTTATTATTCAACATCTAAAAACACAAATTGACACTGACATATTGCAAAGTATGTCAAGAACTGTTTTACCTTTTGCTTCCTGATCAAGTCTCATATTGTGGCACAGTGTTAAGCACAAAGTGGTACCCCTTGATTTCAAAATTTCATGTCAGTAACGGGCATTGTAGCCCTTTGCAACAATGCTAGTTTGGCATGTTCTGCGCATTGATCGAGTCAGTTTTTTATTTCTTTTTTAAATTAATTGAATGAGACATATGCCTCGGTTACGAACCAACGCAGGCGGTTCTAGAAGAAGGCCACAAACGCACACAAACTCAAGCAGACTGACGCACACACACTTGAGCTGCGTGAAAGCAGATCGGACGCGGCACCCGAATTGAGCGGGATATGATGCTCGGCGCACGTGCGCTGAGCCAGGGGCAAGACTGACGCAGGACCAGAACGCAGGCAAGGTGCCGAAATAGGCTTATCAGGCGACATAAACCCGGCCCCCGCAGGACGAGGGTTAAGTTACAAAACATGTTAATTTGTATGTGGGTCGCGTAACCATGTGGTTAAATTTTTGTTCAGGTAAAAGATCAACGCGGAGTCATCGTTGAGTACATGGGGAGTGATTCGCAAAATTTCGCTCACTTGCTCAAGTGAACAAGGGTGCAGTTACAAAAAACAATGTGGAAAGTTTCTTATTGCCGCTGGGTATATTTGATATGAGAATGCCAAGTGATTGAATCGATAACAAGAAATCCCAAGGTGCTGGCTATTGTATTCAGTTGCAGTTTTACCTCCACCCTGCCCCTAACTCCTTTCCAGTGCAATGTCAGTGGTTGGCTAAAGCTTTAAGAGGATGTTGGAAAGATTTTAGTACCATTCAGCTTTATTTATGGTCGGTTCTTCCTGAACAGCTTTTTGAAAATGGAAGGTTTCGATTTTTTCTGCATTCCTGTGAGATTTTGCGGTGGCCTTCACATTAACTTTAAACCTTTTGAATACTGGTCCGCTGAGTCTACAAGGCGTGTGGTCCCTTGTTCCCTTGGGTCGACGGCTAGATTTACTCAACCGCATGTTGGGGCACTTGTTTTCTGTGCAGAAGGATAAGGATGACTTAGTGCATATCCATAGGGTTAATCTTTCCTAACCTCCATAGGCTTAACACTTTGCGGTCACTTGGCGCTATAATGTGCCGGTGAAAATTATCCGTTCCAGTCACTACGCCAGGCCTGAGATGTCCGTTGCAGTCACTCTCCTGACTGGGTGACCACATGGGTATTTTGTACTACTGGCTGTGACTGCAAATTCTTAATCCTTTCTTTTCTATCCACCATAATCTTTAATCTGGAACCTTAGTGCAATTGTTTATTCCTTCAGCTATCCATTCTTATTCATCATTCATTTATTAGAGCCTGTACATCCTCATGCATTGACATCTTCAATTTCTTTTTCTTGTCCACTCACCTCCAGACTGATGTGACACAAGAGACTGTGGATGTAGCAGTTAAAGTGGAGATCAAAGTGAAGGAAAATGATGAGATCTCAAAGTTCCTTGAAGCTGAGCAAGGTTTGTGTTTTTCATTTCATCGCTGAGTTAAACTTTGAATACTCGGTTTTTGGGAATGGGGAGCATTGTGTATGTGTGTGTGTGTATGTTTGTATTTCAATCTGCTTCTTTATGTGTGTGTGTGTTCATGACACTATGTGCCAGTAGTGTGTATGTATATCTGTGTCCATGTGCGTATGTGTTCATATGTTCATATGTTCATACATGTCTCTACTATGTGTGGGAGTATGTTTGTGTATTTCTGTGGGGAGGGAGTTGTTATGTGTTCTTGTCTTTGCATGCTTAAATGTTGAGGTGGTTGCAAATGTGTATTTGAACAGGCATAACTTGTCATTTCTGCTTTTGAGAGGAGTGATTACAACGTCATGCTTAGTAGCCACACTTAAATATCTACCTCTACACTGACGACCTCTTATTATTCCAGAGTATCTGGTTTGGTCTGACATCCTGTTCACATTAGCATGGCAGATGGGTAACTCTTATCGCTGTCTTATCTTTTTTCTAGAATGCTACACCTGAGGCAGATGAGCTCCTTGTCTCCTTAGATTAGAATAACTTGAAAGTCCCATACCTTTACACTTTGTACACTACAAGCTCACTTCTTAGTTCATAAATTGAAGAAAAGCAGGCCTTCCTAAACAAAATTGAAAATCATCCTTACCTAAAACGAAATGTTTAGGTCGGTATACATGATTTAGAGTCTGTAGGAAATGGCCTAATATGCTGTCAAATAGACCTGGTACTTACCTTTTGGGTTCACTGAGGGTTGAAGTACTATTCCTGTTTAAGCTGGAGAACACTGAAGAAGGTGAAGAAGAGGAAGGAGAAAAAAAGGAAGTAGAAGAATAGTGTAAAGAAGGAAAGAGAGAAAAAGGAAGAAAAAAAAAATGCAAAAAGACATAAATGAATGATTAAGTGGCATGCATGTTTTATCATTATCCTTTTCCCACTTTTCTTCCCCTGCTCAGCAAAGGCAAAACAGCAGGAGAAAACTGAGACCCCACGCGGAGGTCAGCCAAAGCGTACAAAGTTTGGCTTGGGCAGCTTCACCGTTGACGCAGACAGTTTGATTAAAAGTGCAAAAAAATCGCCACGAGTTGTCAAGCGTGCAACGGCCTCTGTTCCCTCGCATGCCCAAAAAGGGACAGATTCTGACTCTGACTCTGGAGAGGTATTTAATGTGTTTTTTAAAATTATAAGTTGCAATCTAATTATTTTTTGTCTCATCTATGTTCTCTTAAGGGCTGGTGGGGCACCTAGAAATCGTGTTTGGGGGTCAAATTTTGTAAATTGGGTTTATTACATATTATAGTTCCTGGACACTTCCTGAACAATATCCAGAAACGTATGGTAAGCCTTGCTACACCCTAAAGCTGTGTTTTTTGTCAGGTTTTTCTGCGAAAGCACATGTTGTCTAGCCTTTTCTTACCTATATCGGCTGTTTTCTCACAATTCTATTTTTTCACATATTATCCCGTTTTTCTGCTCTGTTTCTTATTCAATTTTCATGTAACTTTCACAGGATACCAACAACACCTAGTTCTAAATTTTGGCTTGTTGAATTTTTTTTATTAATGTAGTAGTTTTTTATTTATGGGCTTAGAAAGCATGAATTTTCCATTTTTTTCACTTTTTTTGCAACATCTCAATTGTAAATGTCATAAAATAAAAACTAAAGCATATATCAAAAATTCAACAAGCTAAATTTAAGAACTACATATGTACTGTTGGCATGCCAAATTATAAGTGAATCAGTTTATAAATAAGGAAATAAAATGGGATTGAAAAAGGTATACACAATCCAATATGGCCGCCGTTTCCATAGCAACCGATTCACAATATACTTTTTGAACTATTGATTTAAAATCCCCAATAACACACGATGTCCCAAAGCAAATATTGGCACTCTAGGCCTTGTAATAGCCAAAATAGACCTCAGGTGCCCCACCAGTCCTTAATGCTGAGTACTGACTTTGAGTTATTAGGGCAAGTGGCAAATAGAAAGTCAGTCTTAATGTGTATGTGCTCATGAATGTTTATAGTTGTTTATTAAATGTTCCTACAATTTCCCCTCTCTCTCTCTCTCTCTCTCGTTCCCTCCTTTGTCTTTCCCTACCCCACCCCCTTTCTCTCTCTGTCTTACTGTCTATTCCTCTTTCTCTCTCTGTCTTTCTCTCTCTCTCTCTCTCTCTCTCTCTCTCTCTCTCTCTCTCTCTCTCTCTCTCTCTCTCTCTCTCTCTCTTTCTCACTCTGTTTCTCTCTCTCTTTCACTCTTACCACACACACACACTCACACACTCGCACATGCTCACACCCTCCCACCCATGCTTGCACACACTCGCGTACACACTTAATCAGAAACATTCTGCTTCTTCCTCAAGGTCTGTCTATGTTTCAAACAATCTCTCTTCACAGAAAAAACCCAGCAGAAAAGAGCGACAGGTAAAGAAGAAGGCAATGATATCCTCACAGAAAAGAGTTGGTCCTAAACAGAGAAAACCAGAAGGAAAGGGAGTTGAGAAAGTGGAAGAGCCTCCCACCCAGATGCAAGCTTTAACGGTAAGACGTTTCTGCATGTGGTCATTAGTAGCATATGATGGATTGTATTTGTTTCTATTATATCAATAGACAGTTGAGATTCAGCTTTTCATTGCAAACAGTGCATGTGTTTTGTGAGCACAGTAAAATCCTCTTATTTTGGGGGTATGTCAGGCAGAGTTAGTCTGACTTTCCTTCTAACATCTACCCACACCTGTGACTGTGTACATAACAGCTTTGATTATGTGCTGTAGGCTACTGAACTTCTTTTAGGCTATGTTGTTGGTTTTTTTTAGAGTAGCATGTACTGTCTGAGAGGCTTGGGGTAGTTTTGTGTTTTTTTTCGTTTTTTTTTGGGGGGGGGGGGATGGAAGGAAGACCTGAAAGATAAAATATATAAAACTGAATTGAATTTGATTTAGCGTGATATGTGCACAGCACCTGAATAGGAAGGAGAGCTCATCAAGTTTAATGCTTATCTGCTTATTTATTGCTGTTGACACACTACCATTTTGAATTTCTGTGGTCTGTTGATTTGCAACTTTATTACAATTGATTTAACCTTTTTGCATTTATATTTTTAATAGATCTGGCATTATTGTTTCATTTTTGCAAATTTATTGGTTCTTGTAGATGAGCATTACTTGGCTTTTTACAAAATTGAAACAATGACAACCAGTTATTTCAGCTGTGAATAAAAGTATACCAAAATGCCACATTAACTTTTCTGTATTGACACAAGGTACTAGTACGCCAAACAATCATGCCAAGGGCAGTTTTGGAAGGAAGACGTATCCTCTATTGAAAATGGCACTTTTCCATATATAAAGTCTGGAAAGTGATAATCAACATTTAAAAAAGACTGTGCTCAGAATGTGCTAGATCATTTAATGAAACTAACTTGATGTATTAGAGACAGCTATGTGTTGAGTTTTCATTCCCCCCCCCCCCCCCCCCCCCCCCCCAAATCAGGTCGTTTAGTGAATTACAGCGAATTACAATTTGGTTCAGATTTATAGCTTGCTTTCAATCAAATGCCGTTAAGATTTTGTTTCTCTGAAGGGTTTTCTATAAGAGGCATTGCCAAGGTCAGCTTAGTAAAGTCTTTAATTGAAGCAGATGTGGGTGTCCTTTTTAATTTGACTAATGTAACTGTAGAGATCACACTCATATTAACAGAAAGTATATTGTAAGGGAGTAAACTGCTGACTCATTATTAAGCATTTGTATTGATGTCTTCAAGGAGGTCTTTTTAGTGTTATGGGCCGGGAACAAATGCGCATGCTGGTAATTTCTTTGGGCATCACTGGTTGCAATCGAAAGCATCACCTTGTGTTAGCTATGCTAAGTACCAGTAGTTTTGTTTTGTTTTTGTTTTTTTGTTTGCACAAATGTCTACCAGTTGCACTCCACCTTAACACCTTTCTACATTATCACACCAACTCCACCCAAATTTGTCCTTCCAATCCGCAGCCCCACTCTGTCCCAACCTACTGGTCTCATAGTTTTCACCCAAGCTTTCATAAATGTGTCGTTGACTAAACTACGAACTCCCTTTCATGCCATAAGTGACCGAAATAGCAAAGTGCTTCATTTAGACTTTCATTGTTGCAATTGCTGCAATTTTTTTCATTTTTAACACATTTCAGTGTCGCAGTGAAATTCTCGTCATTTACGGGGGGGGGGGTTGGTTTTTTTTTTTCGTAATCTTTATTTCCTTTGGGCATTGTAGAAATGCACTCTGAAGCACAAACTTTGACTTAAGTTGAAAAGTATCTGGTTTGTTTGCATTTTGCCAGCTTTAGACACGAGAAGTTACCATGCTTGATTTTTAGACTAGGATTGTTCAGTCCTGATGTTAATAATTTGTTTTGCTAGAGTTTTGTGTTTTTTGTGAATCATTGTTACTGTAAATGTATAATTTTGTGTGATTGTTTTGTGTTTTTTTGCATGTTTCTTTGTTTTGTGGGCTTGTTTGTTTGTACTTTTATTTTGTAGAAGTCTGTAGAGATTTTGTGACATTTTGTCGTATAGATGAAGGAGCAGACACTGGATGTGCCTGACTCAAAGGTCAAGGAGAAATCAGAAACAGATGAAATTGATGGTGAAGGTGGCGAGAAGAGAGACTGGGAGACAGTCTCAAGAGGAGATGATCACCTTGATGGCAAAGAGGGGAAAGCGACTGGATTAAGTATGCCAAAAGTGCGAGATGCGATGTCACCAACACCTCTTGACCAATCCCTGGCAAAAGACCTCCCCATGGTACCTGGACTTCCCACGGTGCCTCCTGCCCAAGAAGGCAGTGGGGCGTCTGGTAGGCCTGCTGTCCCATCCGCCGCTGAATCAAAAGCGGCTCTCATCAAGAAGCTCGGGAACCGCTCAGCCATGGATTTTCACAGCTCCACCAGGATGCCAGGAGAAGCAACTAGTGGTGCTGGCGACGTGGGCTTGCCAGATTCTGAACCTCCTGCCTCCGACGGTGCAAGCCAATCGGGGACAGGAGTCCCGGGCAGAGGGTCGGCAACTTCAATGGGCTCCGAAGAGTCCCGTACAGCCTTCCGGATTGGTTTGCTGTCAATGGAGGTGAGTTCTGGATCCTAAAGGTACAGCTGAACACACTCTCTTTGGCAGACATGAAAACAACAGGGGTGGGATACGGGTGATTTGTAACACATAATGCTCTTTTCCGAGGTTCTCAAAGATAGCAGAATTATTGTTCGTACTCAAGAGATTAGTGGACTGTATAGCTTAAGAAATACATTGTCAGGACTTATTTTTATATTACAATGAATTACAATTATAATGGTACTTTGAATTCATTAATTACAATGATATTGGTGAAAGGAAATAAGCAAGTATTTATTCTAAAGCTTTGCGCTCTTTTTTTATAAGGTGCCGATTAATGTTTTATTCATTTATCTTTTTAAATGAGGGGGGCAGGGGATTACAGTTCACAAAAAATGTCTTTGGTTCTTTTTGTTTATGTTAGTTACACTGTAGATTGTATTTGTACATGGTCAGTGCTGCATCGTGGGTAGAAGCTTATGCCTGTGTTTTGCACGCTTGTAGTCAACGCTTATCTTCATGTGCATGTGAACGGTTTTTTTATGGTATGAATTCTTGTGCATTAAGTTCTGCCTCGTCAGGAGAGTTGTGGTACATGTATTAAGTGAAATGCTCTCCAGTGTTTCATCTTCAAGACATTCTTGGTGGGTGAGGTTGCAAATTGAAAAAAAAGCAGGCTAGCTAATGGGGTTGATTAATATGAAATCACGAGAGCCTTCCTTTCGCATGAACACGTGATTTTAAAGGGTATTTTATGAATACCAGTACAGTTCTTTTGTTATACTCAACTTCCTTTATCTTTTATGGTTTGTAGTAAGATTGATCTGTTGACCCCAGTTTTAAGTCCTGTATTTGGCGACAAAGTTGTGTGGCCCTGATCATTTGCACCATTTGTGCTCTCTTGAAGCACTTGGTGAGTAAAGGGGTCAGTCGATCGTGAGTTCGATTCTTACATGGGGAGAATGTCTATCGAGTAACTCCCTTCTTTCTACTGAGACGTTGTAGCCCTTTCAGTCAGCTCGGATTGCTGTCAATGGAAGCAGGTTTTCAGCAACTTGCCTTCTAAATGGTCAAAATAGTGTTGAATAGGTGTCAAATCTGCACAGTTGCATGTTTTTTGAAAATTTAAATCACTCCCACTTTTGGCCTCATTCTGTGAATGAACGTTGGCTTGGCGACCTGGTGATCGCTTGGATTGTTATGGGAGATTTTTAGGACTTCACAAAGAAGCCGAAGATCTTTTCCTTTCCTTTTATGCCACACCTGGACCCCATCCCACCCCCCACCCCCACCCCCTCCCCTCTTAAAAAAAAATCTATTCATTTTAAAATTATTTTGTTATTGTCATTCACTATGCTACCTTCTTATTCAGAGAGAAAAGCTCAAGATGTGAACAGAGGTTCTGGTTTGGGGAAAAAAGCCCTATACCTACGTGTGGATTACAAAGAAACATTGCATTGTGGTTTGAAGTACCTGCAGCCTTATAGCCCCGAGATCTTACAAAGGGAATGCAGATGGAAAAGAAATTCTAATTTTTCAAAGCAATGTGTGATGCTTATCTTGGTACGATAAATGTATCATTTCACTCATGGTCAGTGGTGTGTGTGTGTGTGTGTGTGTGTGTGTGTGTGTATGTACGTTTGCGTGTGTGAAATAGCCACTATGGCTATTATTATTGTATCCTGTTTGACCTAGTCTTTGTGGGAATCATCTGATCCAGCTGATTATGTTTTCATTTTCAGAAGACAGTCACTGGAGAGGAACTGACGGGTAAGTCGTACTATGATTCACTGGATTTGTTTCAATTCAGAAGTGACAGCTCCAATTTTGTTTTGGTTTCTTTTCTGTGGACGGAACAGACTTAATTTTAGTTGTTGTTGGTAGTGCTGCTAGATTCCTCTTATTTTCAGTGCTATTGGGGTCTTGTTGTTGTTGGTAATGTCCTTCTTATTCTTGTAATTTTGTCGTGCTGGTCTTATTCTTGTAGTTTTTGACATTGTTATTGCAGATGATGATGATGATAATAATAATAATAATAATAATAATAATAATAATAATAAATAGCATTTATACTGCGCATTTCCATTTCCTAAAAGATGCTCAATGCGCATTACAATGAAAAAGACATCACATCTTAAAAATTAATCGACACAAATGTGTACGTAAAACAAAGTATTATACATATAATATAAATGCATATGTGTAAAATTTTATGATGATGATGATGATGATGATGATGATGATGATGATGATGATGTTTTTTTTGTTGGCTGGGTTATGTCATGAACGATGAATGATTGTGATGATGGACGTCCTGCCTCTCTCTGTCTTTAGATCTAATTCCCTATTTTTATATTTCTCTGTCCGTTTTTCTGTCTATGTATCCGTCTGTCTGCCTGTCTGTCTGACTGTCCGTCTGCCTGTCTGCATGTCTATCCGTCTGTCTATCAGTCTGTCTGTCTGTCTTTCTCTCTCTCTCTCTCTCCCTCTCCCTCTCTCTCTCTCTCTCTCTCTCTCTCTTCTCTCTTCTCTCTCTTTTTTCCTTCTCAATCTCTCTCAATGTTTGTTTTGGTCTCCTTTTCCTTGTTTTATTCACGGAAAAAATAATCTGTTGATTAAAAACATCAATAGAATTAGGTGGCGAGTCTAAGTAGAAAATCGGAGATTTATTCTTGCACAGTAAACTGTACACCGTGTCAACTGTACACCCTTAAAGCAGTCTCTGTGATCTAGCAGTGTGGCGCTCCGTCGTAGCAGGCAGAAGACCTGAGCTCGATTTTACTGAGGAGCGAATTGAAAACTTGTATCTCCCTGTTTCTGCTGGAAGATTGTATCTCTCTTAGACTAGGTTGCCCCTGACAGGCAAGGTCCAAGCCCGCCTTCTAAAGAATCAACTTCGTGTCAATGGGAACGGAAAATATGAACATTACGCTACTCTAGAATTACAAAGTTTTTTTCTGCTCAGTACCTAGTTTTTAGAAATGTGACGTAAAAAATATTTCGAGTTTCACATGTCAAGCTTTTTCGAATACATTCTTTTTTGTATATCTTGATAACGACTCCGTATAATTTCACAATTTTGAAAGAACAGATCTATCTATCCATCTATCCATCCTTCCATCTATC